GAATGGAATCGGATTGAATTGCAATGGAATTGGAATGGAATGGAATGGAATGGAATTGGAATTGGAATGGAATCAAATTCCTTGGTTCTGAAAGCTCAAAGCCAGAGTTGTTGTGTATTCATTGGTGGAGATGCCATTCCTGGGCAGGTGTTCTTTTGAGAGTGTCTCATCTTATCCTAATTGCTGCAGTCATAAAGAATGTGCAATGATAAACCTTTTCATATAAATATGTGCATACATGCAAGCAATGCAATGTAGGAGATGTGTAACAGGCATGAAGGGATTTCTTATGGGATTTTTAGAAAGTCTTTGGAACCGTTCTTATCTTGGACATATAACCTTGAACCTCACTCCTTCATGCCTTCCCAACCCTATTTTGTGTGGGTCTGAGAAAAGTGATTTCATCTTGGTATCTGCAACTTCCACAGCAGATAATAATGTACAGCTTGGGCCGGGTGCGGTGGCTCATGCCAGTAATCCTAGCACTTTGGGAGGCTGAGGTGGGTGAATCACCTGAGGTCAGGGGTTCAAGACCAGCCTGGCCATCATGGTGAAGCCCCATCTTAGAAAAAAGATAAAAAAAAATAAAAATAATGTACAGCTTGTCTGGTGGTTGTCAGGATGAGAAATAAAGCATATGAGCAAATACTTTGTAAAAATTACCATGTATAATGTGAGGATGACTGATGACCAACTGTTCTTCCTTTCATTTGTTTGTCATCATAAGCACATGGTCAGCCAATAAAATTTAAGAGCTGAAGTTAGAACCAGCATCCCTAAGTTTCTTTTGGTTACTCTGTCTTTAGCTTTTTGGACTTCTATTTGTTGCTTTTATTTTTTTTAATTTTAATTATTATTATTTTTTTGACAGTTTTGTTCTTGTTTCCCAGGCTGAAGTGCAATGGTGAGATCTCGGCTCACACAACCTCCACCTCCTGGGTTCAAGCAATTCTCCTGCCTCAGGCTCCCGAGTAGCTGGGATTACAGGCATGCACCATCACATCCAGTTAATTTTGTATTTTTGCTAGAGATGGGTTTTCTCCATGTTGATCAAGCTGGTCTTGAACTCCTGATATCAGGTGATCCGCCCACCTCGGCCTCCCAAAATGCTGGGATTACAGGCTTGAGCCACCATGCCTGGCCCTGTTGCTTCTTTTATAAACGATCAACAAAATGTCTGAGTATACTCTTACACTTTTAAAAATGTGGCACTTGGCCAGGTGCTGTGGCTCATCTCTGTAAACCTAGCACTTTGGGAGGCTGAGGTGGGTGGATCACAAGGTCAAGAGATGGAGACCATCCTGGCCAACATGGTAAAACCCTGTCTCTACTAAAAATACAAAAATTAGCTGCGTGTGGTGGCGTGCACCTGTAGTCCCAGCTACTTGGGAGGCTGAGGCAGGAGAATTGCTTGAACCTGGGAGGCGGAGATTGCAGTGAGCCGAGATTGAGCCACTGCATTCCAGCCTGGTGACAGAGCAAGACTCCAGCTTAAAAAAAAAAAAAAAAGAAAGAAAGAAAGAAAAATGTGGCACTCCACAAATGTAAGCTGATTTCACAGTAATTTTTTTAAGGTACTCCTCAATCCATATAAATCATGAGGACAGGGCACGACCCTGTGCATTGTGTGCCATATGGGTTATATGCAGACTTAGGGCAATCCTTGGAAAGATGTATACACTTGAAGACTGGGAACCCTGGCTGCCTATCAGGTAGAATCGTGGCCCTGGGGAAACATGCAGATCATCTGATGGCCTCTATGTTCTCCTGTGATTATGAGAGAATGATGGCAAGGTTGGTCACATCCCCACTGGTGGAAGGGCAGGGACAAAGCCTCCGGCCTTTGGGTTCCCAGCCCATTCTTTACTACAGCACCATAGAAAAAGAACTTAAATTTGATTTGGAGGCTTTTTTTTTTTTTTTTTCAGACAGAGTCTCGCTCTGTCGCCCAGGCTGGAGCACAGTGGTGCAATCACAGCTCACTGCAAACTCTGCCTCCCAGGTTCAAGTGATCCTCCTGCCTCAGCCTTCCAAGTAGCTGGGATTAGAGGTAACTGCCACCACGCCCAGCTAATTTTTGTATTTTTAGTAGAGATGGAGTTTCACCATTTGTCCAGGCTGGTCTTGAACCCTGACCTCATGAGCCACCCACCTCGGCTTCCCAAAGTGCTGGGATTACAGGCATGAGCCGCTGTGCCCAGCTATAGCAATTTTTAAAAGTTAATTTTAAAACTGGTTCTCTTTTATAGGAAATGAATGTGGTTTTTTTTGTTGTTCACATGTGGTTTTATAAATGAATGTGTTTTTAAAATAGTATTCAATATGCTTTTTTTAAAAAACAAAAAATCATAAATTAATATCCATTACTTTTTAACACATAATTTTTTGTTCAGTAAATATATTATTATTGCTATTTTAAAAAGATTTTATATATTTATTTTTTGAGACGGGGTCTCACTCTTTCTCACTCTTTTGCCCATGCTGGAGTGCAGTGGCTTGATCATGGCTCACTGTAGCCTCTATCTTCCTGGGCTCATGTGATCCTCCCCCCTCAGCTTCCTAAATAGCTGGTACTACAGAGGTGTGGCACCATGCCAGGCTAATTTTTGTATTTTTTGTAGACAGCATGTTTTGCCATGTTGCCCAGGCTGGTCTCAAACTCCTTGTTGTGAGCCACTGCATCTGGCCTATTATTTTAAATATAGTTCTCTTTATTGCCAGTAGCTTTCATATAACCACAGGAACTAGATTTAGTCACCACTGCTTAATTCCAGAAATCAAAAGCTCCATTCTTTACTGTAAATAACTCTTTGATTATATTATATGTTTTATTGCAAGAAAAAAGTTAATCTGAAGATTTAATTTTAAATAACTACATCATGTTGTCACTAATAGGAATTAAAAATAATTATATAAGAAAAATGATAATTCTAAGTAAGTTTTACAGTAAATTTTTGGGCAATTTTATTGAAGTATAGTAAAATTCAACAATTCAATACATTTTTATAAATGTTCATTATGATATAGAATAGCTTTATCACAGTATTGAGGTACATTTTCATTATATTCATTAATTACACATGTGAATTTCTTCAAAGTAAGAAATCCTCAGAGGAAATTGCCCAGTATATTCAAAGCTGTAAGGGATTTGTTGAATAACGGTAATGTATAACAACAATTTTTTTTCTCAAGTTTTTGGATTACCTATTTTAAATGTCTGACTCAGAAGGGCACAAGCATTCTTTTTATGTCATGGGTTTGATTTCTTTCTTCTTTTCTCCTTTCATTTCCCTGCCTCCCATCTTCAAAGTGAAAAAATATCACATTCACTTGCTGACCTAGAGTCTTTTTCTTTCTCCAGGGCTGGCTTCTGATGGGCTCTGCTTGCCTTCCTGACAGTCTTCCCTTTATGAATGAAGCCACTTGCCCTAGCTTCCCTCTGCTGCCTCTATCTGAATGCCTGCTAAGATCTCCTGACCTAGGCGCTGTCACCCACAGTGGGCCTCAGAGCTGGCTCTTCCCAGCTGGTTAACTATCTTTAATCAGTAAGAATTTCCTAGTGGAGAGTGATGGGAAGTCTAATCCAAACTGGCTTAAACAAAAATGAGAATTTATTGACTAACATGACTCAGAAGACCAGAACACTATAGAGAACAGGCCTGATAGTGCGAGGAGGGTGTTTCCTCAAAAAGAAATTGGGTACAACTTTCCCAGAAGAAATCAGTTGTCAACATATAATACCCTTATGAACTTAGTTACCATTCTGTGTCTCCTACTTCCTCATTTGCCAAAGTACATCTGTGATATCTAAATGCAAGTCTGTTTTCAAGGTCAGTTTCTGGAAAAAGTGACCCTGAGAAGGCTTCCTGCTGAGTATGGATAAACATTCACAGCGTGTGTGTGTTTGTGTGTTTGCACTGCATAAAAACAATTCCAACATCAACAGAAATCAAAAAGGAATAATTTTCCAATGACACTGCCATTCCATCCAATGAAACTCTTCATTCTGGGGGAAAGTTCTTTCAGTTCTTGTTGGTAGATAGGTATAACTGTGCTAACCTACCCTGTGTTAGCCAGACAGACTCCATTTTGCTGAGAGCCAGATAGACTCCATCTTGACCTCCACCTCACCCCTCCTGCTACTCTTACCTTAAGTGCATACCTGGGTCTTGCTACTGTGTTGGGTCATGCTGTAGTTAGAACTATAGAAACATATAACCTTTGTAACCATAGCCTGCTTGGCAAGCCCACTTGCCATTGTGAATGCCCTCACCTTGATTGATTACATGACAAGTATCGAATACCCCCCTTGGTAACTGGCAATCATGGGAACCGCTTGCGTATACCCTCCTTAAAAATCAACAATCATGAGAACCTCCTGCCTCCTAGTTACCAGCCTCCTTAACTAACTTGCTTGTTCTGCTTCTGTAAACTCTGCTCCAGCAAGGCTCCCCCTCCCCTACCTAAATCAAGGTATAAAAAATAATCAAGCCCCTTCCTTGGGGTCGAGAGAATTTTGAGTGGTAGCAGTCTCTCAGTCGGCTAAAAAATACCATAATTTGAAACTCAGAGCGTGGCGTTGTTCCATCTAACTCGCCTGGGTATAACAATACTTCATAAGTCAATCAGTCCGGGTACGGTGGCTCACGCCTGTAATCCCAACACTTTGGGAGGCCAAGGCAAGCAGACCACATGAGGTCAGGTGTTCGAGACCAGCCTCGAGACCTCCACCATGGTGAAACCCTCTGTCTCTACTTAAAAAAAAAAAAAATTAGGTGTAATTCCTAGCTACTTGGGAGGCTGAGGCAGGAGAATTTCTTGAACCCAGGAGGTGGAGGTTGCAGTGAGATGAGATCACGCCACTACACTTCAGCCTGGGCAACAGAGTGAGACTTGGCCTCAAAAAAAAAAAAGTCAAACAATCAACAATCAACAACTTGAATTTTAATTTCCCTCAGGGAGAACATTTTGTGAATTCCTGGGTCCAGAGAGAATTACCTATGGCATCAGGTAAAAACTCAAACATTTTCCAAAGGCTTTCTTGTTTATTTCTTCATTTTTTTTTGTCCTTATCTCTTTTTTTTCCTTTTTCCCCCCATTTATTTTGAAGCAAACTCTAGACATCATTCCATCTGTAACTGTGAAGGGACAACTTGAACATTGATACTTGCAATATCAAAGCCTATTGGTCTCTTTAATTTGTGCAGCAGCAACAAAGATACAGAAAAAAAAAAAAAAAAAAAATGAAAGCCTGCTGGTCTTACCCTGTGCTTTTTATTCAAGCTTATTGCAATGGCTGCATCTTTGCTAATGAAGAACTACCGCTGGACTCTTTTAAGGCCTGGCCCTGGGAATCAGCTGCGGGAGTTTCAGCACTGGCCAAGGCAGATCTTTTCTACACAGGTGAGTCAGTGTGTTGTGACCACTTGCTTGGTTGACCTTTAAGTCCCACATAGACTTTATGCTCCTGGGCTTGCGTTTAGCTACACTCAACCAGCTCCACTCACTTCAGCATTTCTTACAGATTCTTTTTCTTTTCCTTTTTATTTGGTTTTGAGACATGGTCACCCAGGCTGGAGGGCAGTGGCAAGATCATGGCTCACTGCAGCCTCGATCTCCTGGGTTCAAGCAATCCTCCTGACTTGGCTTCTCAAAATGCTGGGATTGCAGGCATGAGCCACTGTATCTGGCATAGATCCCTTTTCTTTCCTGCATCATAAATCCTCTCCCAGTTTTCTGTACCTCCCTTAGATGGTGAAGCTTCAAATTTGAAACCTTAAGTTCTGGACTAACAATACAAGCATTTATTTGGGATAATTATCATGTCTTCTCTTTCTACACATTACTCTCCCCACCTCTTGTCCCCCCCTCCCCCAAGGTGCTCCTAGAAATTGTCACAGGACACTGCTACTTATATTTCTTTAATCAGAACTTAGTCACATGGCCAGGCATGGTGGCTCACTCCTATAATTCCAGCACTTTGGAAGGCTGAGGTGAGTGGATCACTTGAGGTCAGCAGTTTGAGACCAGCGTGGCCAATATGGTGCAACCCTGTCTCTACTAAAAATACAAAAAATTAGCCAGGCATGGTGGTGGGCACCTGTAATCCCAGCTACTCGGGAGGCTGAGCCAGGAGAATCACTCGAACCTAGGAGGTAGAAGTTGCAGTGAGCCGAGATCATGCCATTGCACTCCAGCCTGGGCAACAAGAGTGAAACTCCATTTAAAAAAAAAAAAGAAAGAAAGAAAAAGAAAGAAAGAATTTAGATGACCATACCTAGCTGTAAGAGGAGCTGGGAAACCTAATCTTTTTCCTGGGTGACAATGTGCCCAGCTAAAAATTGGGATTTCCCTTAGTATTGAAGGACGTGAGATACTAGGACTGTGGATAGCAATCTTTGCCACATTCTGCCTGCAGGAGAAAATCAGGAAATTCATATTCATGATTCCTAAACATGCAGAGTCTTCCACCAGATTGTGGCATTTACTTTTTAGCTTCTGGTCATCAGGAAGCACCTCTGCAATCCACCAATGACGGGCTGGTTCCTCTCAGCTAAATCGCTGCCTGAGATACAAGATGATTAGGGAAGGGTTCCTAGGTACCTCGCTGGTCTTGTTCAGCATGCATAAGTTCCAGTGGAGGTTAACGCGGATCTTTGAGAGATCAAGTAGCTGTCACGAATACCACAGCAATACAGAGAAGGAGAAGACAGTTGTCACTCTACCTCACAGACATATTTCATGGAGACAAAAAAATCTGACCGCCTCACAATCTTAAGCCTTTGGAAAGAGTGTTTGCCATTTCTCCCTACTCTACTGTATCTTCCTCTTAGCCTTCCTCAGGACCCTCTGTCTGGTGTCCTCACCCTCCTCCTTTCCAGTCCTCCACCTCTCCACTCAAATCCTAGTCCTCTGGCCTTTTTCAGATCTTGCAAGCTCTAGAACCTCATATTTCTGGGAGGCTTTCCTCTGCCCCCGCTTTCCCAGAGTGGAGGGAAGATGAGAAATGCTGTTTCTAGTTTGATCCTTTTGCAGAGCTAAAAACCAATTTCTTTCTGAAGAAATATAATCTCACAAAGAGACTTGATTCTATTTCTGGTGGAATAAACCTGGCAATAATGTGGTAAGAGGCAATTGCTTCATCATGCATTCACTTACATAAGGGCTGCTAGATTTGCTGGGTTTTTTTTTCTTGAGCTCTAAATATATTCATTCTGATTTGTTCATTAAACAAATACTAATTGAGTGCCTCATGAGTGCTAAGCACTCTTCTGGTTCATGTCATTCAATAATGAGCAAAACAGACAAAAATCTCTTTCCTCGTGGTGCTTATTTTTTATTTTTTGAGATGTTGTTTCACTCCTGTCACCTAGGCTGGACTGCAATGGAGCGATCTCAGCTCACTGCAACCTCATTCTCATGGGTTCAAGTGATTCTCCTGCCTCAGCCTCCCAAGTAGCTGGGATTACAGGCGCCCACCACCACACCCAGCTAATTTCTGTATTTTTAGTAAAGACAGAGTTTCACCATGTTGTCCAGGCTAGTCTCAAACTCCTGACCTCAGGTGATCTACCTGCCTTGGCCTCTCAAAGTGCTGGGATTACAGGCGTAAGACACTGTGCCCGGCTCCCTCATGGAGTTTCAGTTCCAGATTCTGGTTGCCAATCTGTTTGTTGATCAAAGGAGAATGGGGCAGAGGGACGGTGCCTATCAAACTGCATGGTGTGTAGGAGCATTGAATGACTACTTGCTGGTTATCCTGTAGATGGGCAAACAGTCTTAGATAGAAAATTGCCCCACTGGTAACCAACTTCTGACTTTGTCACAAAACCCAATTGGAGACTGAATAGGCTTTCACTAATACAGGTCTGGTGGTTATTATCTGCATGTCAGTGGACAGATGCCCACGCCAGTGGCACTGTTCAAGTTTCCTTACTTTTAGGTATAAAGGACATCATCCAGTGCTTTTTCTGTGGAGGGTGTTTAAAGAAGTGTCAGGAGGGTGATAACCCACTAGATGATCACACCAGATATTTTCCCAGGTGAGTGGAATGAATATTAACCATCTGTGACTTTGGATGCACTTCAACATTTTTTTTTTCTCATTTACTCCCTTATTTTATCTTTAGATTGAGTCTTTATCCACTCCTCTGATTCAGGCTATGAAGGATGAGTCTTCACATCTTTTTTTTTTAAGTTGGAGTTTTGCTCTTGTTGCCTAGGCTGGAGTGCAATGGCACCATCTTGCCTGACCACAACCTCCGCCTCTGGGTTCAAGTGATTCTCCCTCCTCAGCCTCCTGAGTAGCTAGAATTACAGATGTGCGCCACCACACCTGGCTAATTTTTGTAATTTTAGTGGAGACAGGGTTTCACCATGTTGGTCAGGCTGGTCTGGAACTCCTGACCTTATGATCCACCTCCCAAAGTGCTGGGATTACAAGCGTGAGCCATCATGCTCAGCCCCTTTCACACCTTTTGTAGCGCAGTTGTGCTGGCAATTAACTTTATTGGCCTTTGTTTGTATGAAAATGTTTATATTTTACCTTCCTTCATAGTTCTTTTCCTTTATAGGCCTATTAAAATATATTTTTTTCTTTTGTAAGCCACTTCACCCCTCCCTTAAGGGTCTGCTTTTATTTGGCTCTACATGGCTGACTTTGGACAGAAATATTAAAAGTTCTACTTGTTGTTTTCCTGAAGCTATGCTTCTATTTCTGGACTTATCTCCAAGTCATTTGAAGGCAATACAAATGACGCACCTGGGCCAGAGGCAGTGGCTCACGTCTATAATCCCAGCACTTTGGGAAACCGAGGTGGGAGGATACCTCAAGCCCAGGAGTGCCAGGCCACCCTGAGCAACATAGTTAGACCCTGTCTCTACAAAAAAAGAAAAAAATTGCCTGGCCTGGTGGCATGTGCCTGTAGTCCCAGTTACTTGGGAGTCTGAGGTGGGAGGATCAATTTAACCTGGGAGTTGGAGGCTACATTGAGCCTTGATCATGCTACTACCCTCAAGCCTGGGCAGCAGAGTGAGACCTTGTCTCAAAAGAAAGTCCCTTTGCTTTACTCCTGCTCTCCTGTGATTCCACAGCATGGAATGGGCCACTGACTTACGTGTATAGTTCTCATCTGTCCATTTTAATAATTGCAACTAGAGCTCCTTTGGAACTTTCTCTCTTGTTCTTCAAGCATACATCAAACCTGAGTTTAGAGGGTATTTGCGTTCTGGTTTCGTGATGTTTGGCAAGGAGTTTCTAGAGAGTATGTTTGCAGCCATTCTTTAGTTTTGATACTGATGAAGGGTTTCTTTTTTTACTTTTTGTTTGTTTAAGACAGGGTCTTACTCTGTCACCCGGGCTGGAGTGCAGTGGTGCAATCACGGCTTACTGTAGCCCCAACCTTCTGGTCTCAAGTGATCTTCCTGCCTCAGTCCCCCAAGTTGCTGGAACTATACATGTGTGCCACCCCCACACCCTGGCAAATTTTAAAAATTTTAGTAGAGATGAAGTCTCCGTATGTTGTACAGGTTGGTCTGGTCTTGAACTTCTGGCCTCAAGTGATCTTCCTACTTTGGCTTCCCAAAGTGCTAGGATTACAGCGTGAGCCACCACACCCAGCTAATTTTTGTATTTTTTAATAAAGGCAGGGTTTCACCATGTTGGTCAGGCTGGTCTTGAACTCCTGACCTCAAGTGATCCATCCGCTGCGGCCTCCCAAAGTGCTGGGAATACAGGTGTGAGTCATCACACCCAGCTTTGTTTTTTTGTTTTGTTTTGAGACAGCGTCTCACTCTATCACCCAGGCTGGAGTGCTGTGGCACAATCTCGGCTCACTGCAACCTCTGCCTCCCGGGTTCAAGCAATTCTTGTGCCCCAGCCTCCTGAGTAGCTAGCAGTACAGGTGTATGCCACCACTGCCTGGTTATTTTTTGAATTTTCTTGTTCTCTATGAAAACAAAACAAAGCGAAATTTTTGAATTTTCTTTTTAATAGACAGGGTTTCGCCATGTTGGCCAGGCTGGTCTCAAACTTCTGGCCTCAAGTGATCTGCCCACCTCTGCCTCCCAAAGTGCTGGCATTACAGGCATTACACCACATCCAGCACTTTTTTTTAAATAAAGTTTTTATTTGAAATCATTTAGATTTACAGAAAAAGTGCAAAGTAATACAAAGACTTCCTAGATATTACTGTACCTAATTTACCCTTACGCTAACATCTTACACTAGCATATTTGTCAAATCATCAGTGTACCAATTCATACACTGGTACATTACTATTTACTACAATCCAGATTTTATTTGGATTTCACCAGTTTTTCCAGTAATATTTTTTTGTTCCAGAATTCATAGTTTGTTTTTTTT